AAATGCACCTAGATCAGAACTAGTCAATAGGGGCAAAAAGCTGCTAAAATGCAAACTAGAAGCTAAAACTTCACGAGCAATTTCCGATACCAAGATGAAATTTTCTGGGAAAACATGAAGAATAACCCTCCCTAAAATCACATTTTCTAAGTGACCATGTGAAGGCTGAAATTTAATTTCCGAAGGAAAACTCCAAAATGCCCTTAAACCAGTTTATGCAACAAAAAAGTGAAATGAGTCCGTAGAAGGCTCAAAACACAAGCGAGAGGATTTTTCACGAAAATGATCATACACGCAAATGTAAATGGTGATTTTGAGTGCACGGGAATGGTCCGCGGCTCTCGGAAAGGGCCGAGTCAAAATCCGACCACCACAACGGCTAAAAAGGCAAAAATGAACTTGAAATGGAAAATTTGAAATCCAAAATTAACAAATGATTTCAAATGACCGTTTGGCCCTCGGCCACACTTCATGCATGATAAATGAACCCTAGTAAACATGCCAGAACACACTTTACACCGCCCGATTTGAAAATAAATCCTTAAAGGCTCGGATTTTACTATTTAAGTCTAAAAATGCAATATGTTAAACAAGAATACAAATGTGGAAACAAAATGGTGTTTGGCCCTTGGCCACACCTCATACATGGTAAATGAATGCTAAATAATGAATTTCTTACACAATGCACACTTTGGCGCATAAATGACATATTAAAACGCATGGTTTTCATAATATTCTCATTCAGGCAATTTCAACATTTATGAATATACATGAATTTCAAATATGATTTGGCCCTTGGCCTCAAACCATATACATAAAATGAGAATCAAAAAGTGGGCTTAGGCACATATTACAAATTTAGAATCAAATATACACATTTGACGCATAAGGATACAAATGGCTTTTCCAGCCAACCTTTACAAGAATGGAAGTCTTCAAGTCCACAAATCATCCAAGCATGATAAGAATCTCTACCTTGATTCCTGTACCTAAAAAATGTCCCCACTACGTGGGTGAGTAACATAAAGCTACTCGTAGGAAATGAGCATGCATCGAACTAGCATTTTACAAGTTTATCATCTTAAGGTGAAATATGTTAAAGGGGCTCATGCCCCCTAACGTCTATGTTAAGATGAGACTCAGGGAACATCCTAAGCTACCTTAGATCATTTCTAGCATAAATCACATCATTCATACAATTTAAACAACATAGAAGCATGTTATACAAAGCCACAAGATATAGATTCTCAAAGTCCTCAACTTGAAATCTAAAACACAAAAACAACTAAAGTGGATCAAGCCACCTAACGCCTATGTTCTAAATGAATCTATAGGATCATTCCTAAGCTACATTTGAACATCAAAACACAAATCATAATATAATTTAACCAACATTGGAGCTTCCAATACAACGCATAAAGCATGATTTCTCTAAGTTAACATCTTGAAACTCAAAATAGGAAATCAATTAAGGAATAATAAGTTACGATATTATCTAGTTATCAACTTAAAATGAAATGCAAAATCTAACAAAGTAATTACTTGGACGTCACGCCGGATTAGACTGACATCATAGTTACTTTAGGGTTACTAGCCCATAGGTAACCTCCCTATGTGCGCACTAGACTATAGAGGGACAATCCCCCGTACTAGAACAATGTCCTAGCCGTAGTCAAACAACGAAATCCCCAAGTTTCCAAAATCAACAAGTTGTGAAACAATGTATATATCAACAGGAATATAAAAGATAATCAACTATCTACCAAGCACAACCAAATTTGGAAACACATACAATACATGCACTAAGTCCACAACTACGATGGGATGACAATGTCGAATCTTCAGAGTGCGATTCGTTACATGCTATAATAACATCACATGTCAAATCTTCAGTGTGCGATTCGTTGCACACTATAACAACATAATTCAATATTGAAAACATAACTCATGAATATAAATTTAACAATAATGTTACTCAATGCTTAAAGCATAACCAAGTGAATATGCAACAAGTCCAAATCCATAATCTAAATATAGAAACAACTTCTAAAACATAATTAGATCCATGGAACAATGCGATAGAATTTAATTAAATAAAAATAATTAAATTCTCTAGATTTCAAATCAACTCCAAATAACCTCAAATTTATATAAGTTAAAGGACATAGCATAGTCATCACACATATCACATCAAAAACTTAAACAAGCCCATGGAGCCATCAAATAGATTTTAATTAAGCCTTTTAATTAAAATCTCTAGATTTTCATACTCATCCAAATGCTCTCAAATTAAAGTATGTTAGAAAACATGCCAAGACTTAATCTAATGGCCTATCACAAGTTAATATCATGGAAGGTACGGCCATGGGAATTAATCTTTCACAAAAGAAAAATATTAAACAAATATTACAATTCTTATTCATATGTCAACAACCATACCAAGGCTTAATTTTCTAGCATGCCACAATTTAATTCTAAGTTATATATCATCATGAGAATTAAATCTTAATCATAGAAAATAATTAAATTAAATTCTAGAACTTAAACCAAAGCATGCATACAAGTTGTATAAACTTCTAAAATCATCAATACAACATTTCTATAAACTTAAGACACCCCATACCTCAATTTGAGATGAAAACCTTAAAGGATACCGAAATGAAACGGCTCCGAATCTGACAATACTTCGGGGTTTTGTCGGGGACAATGCCGTGAACATTAAACTCCAAAGAGGACCTACCAAAATCCTAACTTGATCTCAAACCCAAACCCAAAATTTGGCCAAAAACGGGTTCTAATAAGGGGGAAAGAAGCACGTAGTCAAGACAAACACAAAACGCAAAGGCACTATGACTTTATAACAAAGGAAATGAGGTTTAAATGAGAAGAGAAGGGTGGCAGCCCCGCTTGGGCTGCCATGGGAGCTACTGGTCGTGCTTGAAGAGAGAAGAAAGTGACTTTTTAATTTTATAACCCCCTATTTATAGGAAAACTCTGAAAGTGCCTTGAAAGGGCCCAACCGAGTTCAGAAAAGTGGAATTTGAGCAGACGCACTGAAACGGCAAAACTCTGTGAACAAAAAAGATTCAAAATGAGAAAATATGAATCACAGAAGAAACAATGTGAAATACCGCATCCCGAGCAGAGAGATATGCCCTGAACAAGTTCGGCAGCAACTGGGGCCAGAAACCCTGAAACTGGGGGAAAACGACCACAAGGAAATTCTAAGAGCACACAACTCAATGAAATGTGAAAATGAATCCCGTATGAGGATCTAGGCTCAAAACGAGGCATTTTTTCAATAACTTTCATTAATTGCACTATAGCACCTCCAAAAAGTGAAAACTACAATAATGGCCTAGAATGAAAATATCTTCCAAAATTATTTTCTTAAAAACCCCTGAAATAAAATATCTTCAAAAGATATTTATGAAAAACACCCCAAGAAAAGAAAAAGATTCTGAAAAACTATGCATCCATAACTCTATGGATACCGGGAGCAACCAGAGTACTTTACTGCAAAAGTAAAGATACGTATTTCGTGGAAACCACTTAGAATGAAGATACGTGAAGTTGAAAACCAACTCCGGGCATGAAAAGTGAGGTTGTGCCATAAAGTGACAAATAGGGAAAAGATAAAATAGGGAAAAGAATGAAAAGTGAATAATGTCCAAAAAGTGAAAATGTGGAAATGACTCGGTCCTTAAAGGAATTTGTCAATCCAAATGAAAGAGTCTCAGAAACCATTTCTGAGCACTTGAAATGACACTAAGTGACGAGAAACTAAACACAGAATAGAAATGACAACGAAAAAAAATTTATCTGTAAAATTTGAAGAAAAAGGAAAGGAAGGAAAATGACCGGGTCATTACAAAATTCGGGTTAATAGATCTCCATCTACAAATCCATAGAGCTCAATCCATTACCCTCCATGGCCACCACTTCAATCTCACCTCAAATTCAGACACCCATTACCCTCTTCAACAAACCAACCAAAACAAACCCATTGAGGCAATCATATATATACATATATATGTATATCAATATAGAGCTTTGTTATGTGTGTACATTATTATGTAGATAGAGAGTGAGTAAAAAAAGAGGGGTTTTGGTAATATTGCCTATGAGTCTTTTGGGTTCTGATTTGGTTTTCAAGGTCACATTCATGATACAGAGAAAACATTGATGGTGATGGTGGTTTGTCGATAGGGTAAGCGGTGGTGAGTGACTCGACTGGTGATCACTTTGTAATGGTGGCTACAGTTGTTGGGTTTAACCCGTGAGACCGTAAAGGTATTACGCAGTCATCGGTGTTTACAAGAAAAGTGACCATTGGGTAGCTGCAGCCAATACGGGCCAGAAACGGCTGGACCAGATGAGTGCTGGGTCGAGGCCGGCCGGAAAGGAGCACCGGATGTCCCCCTTTCATGTGCTACTTGCCGGATCTCCCTTGCTTTTTGTACTTGAGTTACGTTGGAGAGAGAAAGAGATAAGAGAAAGTAGAGAGAGGGAATAGAGATGGAAGGGGATGTCGGATGGGGGCGAGGATAGTGGGATGATCTCTTGGATCCGGCAGTCGCAAACGAAAGGGATGTAGAAGTCGTGCTTGTTGATGTGGTTCTCGTTGTCCTAGTCGATTCGAGTTACCTAAATTTCTTGAACGCAAAGAGAATGAATGAGCATAGTTTGGCAATACTTAACTTAATTCTATGTTTACGTTTGTACACCGATCTTAATTTGATTAGGCCATATCAGCAGGCTGGATAAAGTTCACCCAACCTGAATTAGACACCAGCATTATCCCTTTTGAATATCCTTTATTTTCCCCCTTTCTCTTTCGATATTATATTTTAATATATTTAAAATATTGTGTTTGTCTTGTGAATTAACATGATGGAACATGAACAGAAAACAAAATCTTAATGACTTTATTAACACTTAAGTTGTAGACTATACCAAGTTTTGCAATCCTAAATTTTTAGACAAATTAACAAACCTATTTATGATCTAGTGATATGAGCAACGAAAGAATCCAATTCCATGCGTGACACATCGCCTTCCTCCACTAACTGTTTGACAGCACCACTCATTTCCACCACTCTTTTCCTCAAGTCAACTCCTTCCTTTGACACCAGCAATCTTTTCATATCTATTTCAACCGTTGATGAGCTTACCAACTCATCACGACGCGCCCAATCATTGACCACTAGGCCAACCTTGAGTAACTTTATTACGAGTATAGTGTTCCTCAGCTGGTTTGAATGCACAGGCCATGCCGCAATTGGCACCCCCATACTAATGCTCTCCATACATGAATTCCAACCACAGTAACTCATGAACCCTCTTATTGATTCGTGTCCAAGAATTTGCAATTGAGGTGCCCAATCTTTCACCACCATTCCCTTTCCTTCCACTCTTTCTTCAAACCCTTTTGGTAGTTGAGCTCTTCTTGTTTCTCCCACAAACATATCTCTCAATACCCAAATGAACTTCTGCTCACTTCCACTGCAAGAAAAATAATTTTTTACCATGCATTTTCTACTACCATGGTTTTAAAATAATTGTGGTAGAAAGTATATTTTTTGGCACGGGATTTTAAAACCGTGGTAGAAGACCCTTTCTACTACAGTTAATGGAAAACCGTGGTAGTAATTATATTCTACCACGGGTAAGCACCGTGGGAAAAAGTGAATAATTTTAGACAAATTTAGGCGGGTCTTATTCCCGCTAGTTTCATTAAAATAATAATAATAATAAAATTATATGCAAAAACATATATACACAGAAACCACACACAACATATCTAAGCCCTAAACCACACAGAAACTCCTAACCCACACACAACTCTATCTACTCGATATACAGGCGCAGCTCAGTACATCGACAAAAAATCTTCCCTTTTCAGACCATCAAAACTAGCGAACGGTAATGACGTCGTTATCTTTTTTCACACCGGTTGCTTTGTTTCTTCCTTCAAACCTTTCTCTAGCTCTTTCTCTCCCTGACCCTCTTTCCCTCCATGCCAACGAAGCCTTTTCTTTCTAATTTGAAAGGGCTTAAAGCAATGTTTGTGTAATAGATCCAAGCCCTAACCCTCCCTCCCTCTCTCATTTGAAGCCCCCATTATCTAAGTCCTAACCCCCTTCCTCCCATTCGAAGCCCTAATTTATATCGTGTCTGCATTGAAATTGGAGGTTACATTTTTCACTACTGTCAAAATTAGAGGTTTCTATTCTTCGATACATTATCAAAATTGGAGGTTAATTTCTGTTCTTTGCTACTATATTGTCCATAACGGCATTGCCCTTAGTTGACACCGAAATTTTCAAAATCAATTGTCGGCTGACTGAAAAGTGAGGTTTAGTCGGACGAACCTGGGGTTTCAGTTGACCGATTATGAAGTTCGGCAAGCTGAAAAAAGGTTTTCTACGACTCAACTCTCTGGAATGCCAAAGTGTGCACTGTCAGTCGGCTGATGGTCCTTGTCAGTTGGCTGAAAGGCTTTAGGAAGCTTTTATCTATAGTAGATAACACTAAAAAGACTAGATTTGTTATGAGCCAACCTGCACAAGACTTGCTATGCAACCAAATCCCGAATTCACGGCAAAATATACAACGTCACACAGGTATAAACATCAATAATTTTTCTCAAAACGTAACATCATTCTCCCATTCAATATAAAATATTCACATAGTCTCAATTTGCTCAAAATACTATCATGTGTCATAGTTACAATACACGATCGTGGTTTACAAATGAATACACTTTTCTAAAGATTGAGACTTTACAAAAGAATGGTGCAAATTATACACACATACACACTAAAATACACACATACACCATAATGCTGCAAATTCCATTCAGCTCGAAACTTAGCCACCAAGAAATGCAATATTCTTGCATATTCACTTAATTTAGGACCACTGCAACGTGTCACACTACTAAGACTCAACCAAAGTAATACTAAGCAAATTAATAATAGCTGCAAGTAAGAGAAGGGATAGCTGAAAAACTACCCTTATTTCAGTCCATTCTCCCCCTTTTTGACATTGAAGGACAAAAGGTGAGAAGGAACAATAATGAGAGGCTTAGAAAGAGGGTGGAACAACCCTGAGAAGAGCTCTGCGGGTTAAAAATCGTTGAGGGAGAAGAGGTTTTATTAGGATATCTGCCAGTTGATTTTCAGTTGGTAAGTAAGTAATGTCAATGAGGCCTTTCTGAACTTTGTCTCTAAGAAAGTGATACTTGATGTCAATATGTTTACTCTTCCAGTGAAGTGTGGGATTCTTGCTTATGGCAATGGCACTTTGATTATCACAATAGAGTTTAGGAGGACCTGAGAAATGAAGACCAAGATTAGCAAGAGTAGTGTGCATCCAAAGAAGTTGAGAACCAGCCTGAGAAGCAGCTATGTATTCAGCTTCTGAAGTAGAAAAAGAGATAGTATCCTGCTTCTTACTTAACTAAAAAACTAAGTTGGAACTAAGAAGATAGCAACAGCCTGATGTACTTTTTCTGTCAGGTAAGGATCCACCCCAATCAGCATCTGAAAAGGCTGTGATAGGCAATGCAGACGAGAAGATATAATGTAGACCATAGGAAATAGTACCCTTGACATATCTCAGAATCCTTTTAGCAGCCTGAAGATGAGAGAGTCTAGGATTGCTTTGAAATCTTGCTACCAACCCCACAGAATACATGATTTTAGGTTTTAAAGCTATGAGATACAATAGACTGCCAATGATAGACCTATAAAGAGTAGAGGGAACTGATTCTGTGGTACATAAGGGAGTTGAAACAGATTTGCACTCAGTCATACTGAATTTTGTAAGTAACTCAGAGGCATATTTCTGTTGAGAGATGAAGATTTTTTTAGAGGTTTAATGAATTTGAAGACCTAAGAAGTATCTAAGAGTTCCCAAAAGAGACATTTCAAATTTGGTTTTCATCAAATTTGCAAACTCTGATGCTAAAGATGTATTGGAGCCACAAAACATAATGTCATCAACATAGACTTGAAGAATGAACTGATCTTGATGAAGGTTGACATAAAGAGTACTATCCACTTTTCCTCTATGAAAACCTTGTTTAATTAAGAGCTGATGCAGTTTTTCATACCAAGCCCTAGGAGCTTATTTGAGACCATACAAGGCCTTGTTTAGCTTGAAAAAATTGAAGGAGGCTTGGGATCTTTAAAACCTTCAGGTTGTTCCAGTTATACTTCTTCATTTAACTCTCCATTCAAAAAGGCAGACTTAACATCCATTTGATACACTTTGACTTGCTTGTGACAAGCAAAGGGCAAGAGCATTCTAATGGATTCTATCTTAGCAACTGGGGTAAAGGTTTCATCATAGTTAATACCAGCTTGTTGAGAGTATCCTTTACACACCAATCTAGCCTTGTTTCTGATAACTATCCTTTTTTCATCAAGTTTGTTTCTGTAAATCCATTTGGAACCAATAACATTCTTAGCTGCAGGTCTAGGAACCAGTGTCCAAGTGTTATTCTTGTGAATTTGATCAAGTTCTTCTTTTATAGCAACCACCCAATCTTCACTTTTCTGTGCTTCAGAGTAAGACTTTGGTTCAATAGAGGATAACATTGCAAAATGACTGTATTCTTCTCCATCATCAACTTCTAATTCAATGAGTTTCTTCTTGTTTCTTGTTTGAGCACCAGCCTGAGGAGAACCAATAATGTTTTTAGCTTGAACCTATTTTTGTAATCCTGGATAAGTAACTTCTCTATGATCATCAAGTTCTGAAGTTGATTTAACAGATTTATCTAACCCTTGAACAAAATGAGATGGACTGGCTTCAGTTGATCCAGGTGTGGAACTGATGTCATCATTAATACTGAACTGTGGAGTTTCATCAAATTTAACATGAATTAATTCAATAACCTTGGAGGATCTTAGATTGTAGCATCTGTAAGCCTTGCTTTTTGTAGAGTACCCCAAGAATATCCTGATGGACGGAGGCCGCACTACCACCAAGTTTGAAAGTGTGAAATTTAAGGTTAGGGCCAAGAGTTTTACAATTATAGAAGCCACTACTACCTTTCACTATAAATATAGCTAGGGCGAGTAGGGATCGTCCCAAGGGATTGTGAGGGTCGAACAAGGTTGTGGAATTGCTATTAGGGCTAGTAGGTCGAGTGATCAAACAATTGGTTGGTTGGTTGATTAGACTAGAGAGCAACTAAATTAAACTAAGTGATAACAAATAATGCAATTAAGAGTAAGTAAGAGAGAGAAGAGTCTTGGGGTTTAGAGATCACCACCAAGCAATGCATTTTTATACCGTTGAGAAGTGACTAATGAGGGCAAATAGTGTGTTGCAATATTGGGGTGTGTGTGTTTGGTTGATTCAACAAGCAAGGATGACTAGGTAAGCATGTATTATATAAACATTATGTAAAAGGCACAATATATCTAAGCAATGAAGCATATATTGTCTAAACAACATGTGAAAGACACAATAGATCAAAACAAGTCATTAATCCTTTCATTAAGCTCACAATCCAAATACAACACAAGGTTAGAGACATATGCTACATGCATTTAAAGCTTGGATCATCAAACAACAAGCATGGATTGTCCTCCGATTTAACACTACACTACAACTACACTACATCTACACTACTAGCATAAAAAAAAAACTAGGGGAGAGGCACAATCCATCAAGGAATAAGTATAAACCATCAAGAAAATCACAAGAGCATTCTTTTAAGCACTATGTTTTGACCATCTCTAAATCTATAGCATCAATACACATAGACATGCATCAATAACACAAAATCTAAAGACAAGCACATGAACATATATTCTAGCATACATAGACATATGGATAGAATGAAATGATCAATTGGAAGCATTAAACCATATAAATCATTGAATAAACAAAATGTATATATCCAAGTGTCAAAACATTAATTACAACACTAATCCCTCAATAATACACAAGATTAAGATATAGAAAGCATGCTTGGGGCTAACTTTAGCCCCAAGAGGATATCTAGCCACTCATGGTGATGTTGCTCCAACCCTCAAGGGCTAACTCCATGGTTGAAATCTGGTCCTTGTTGATGAAGAACTCCAATGGTGTCTCTAGCCTCCTCTTATTTTCTTAAACATTAAGACTTGCTTCCAAGAGAATAAACCCTAGAATTGTCTTTCTCTCAAAAAGTGCATCATATTCCTTTTATAGGTAGGTCAAGTGACACACAAAATGAGCTGGGGTCGTGCAAAGAATATTCTCTAATGATTGGATAGAGGACGGATTGAATAAGTTGGCTTTTTAACTTTTTCGCGCTGGAGGAAGTTCGATCGATCGAACCTTGGACTTGGATCGATCGAACTTGCTGAGATCCATTGAACTGAGGCTGGATCGATCCAACTAGTTGAGCATTTTGGGAAAAGACTAATCCGAGATATTTTGGGAGATACTTTTGGGAAAAGGACAAAAGTCGTTAGTAGGTGGTATAGCTGTGGATAAGATCAATCATTTGAATAAGGACAAAAATGTTTGATCGATCGAAGGGTGGTGTTGGATCGATCGAAATTTGGACTTTTTGCTTTGGGTCAAGGTTTGGATCTATCTTAAAGTACTGAGATCGATCAGTGTTCGATCAATCAAACCTTGAAGTTGGATCGATCAAACTTTGTTGCTTCCCACCTTTGGCTTCATTTATTTCTTTCTTTCTCCACTTTGCTCTTTTCTTTGTTTAATCCCAGAATTACTTCAATTAAGCTCTTATTTGGCTGTGTTAGCTTATTTTCGGGATAAGTGCCTAAAAATAGAAATAATACAAAATCAATCTAAAACGGTAAAGTAAGATAGATAAAGGTACTAGAATGCTTAAGCTTAAGGGGTTTAAATACGTACTTTTCAACACTCATCACACCCCCAAACTTAAATATTGCTAGTCCCTAGCAATGAACTAGAAAGTAAAGGAATGAAATGAACAACTATACAAGTATGAATCTAGAAAACAATAAATGGATAACGCCACTTTTGTAGGGAACACGATTGCACTTAGCATATGCAACAAGCCTTTTAAACCCCTAGGTTACCCCTAGTGGATGAGTGAAGTCTTGTGAGGGTTTCCAGAAATGGTACCTATAAACATTAAGCTCATTCTTTCAAAAGAGGTACCAATATTGCAAACAAGCATTGGGAGAAAGCTACCTCAAGTATGCAATTTTTCAAACATTTCTAAGCAATCTCCTAAAATCACAACATCAAGCAAGCAAGTATAGTCCTCCACACATCAAGACAATGATCATGCAAATCAAAACAACTCTAGAAACCTTTTTGAGTGGACCAACATCAAATGTGTTGCTATCTTAGCCAACTAAAGAATTAATCACATCCTTACCCTCAAACTAGCACACAAATTTAGTACCGATCATCACGACAAAAAGTGGACCTTTTATTAAAGCTTATTGTTCTAGGTGCGCTTATATATATATATATATTTTTTAGGATTAAAGATGGAAGCATGGTACAATGTGTTAATCTATTAAGCTTTCTAGTGATTCATGAAGGTCGAGCGTTAGGTCAATGACTCCCAAACCAGACGGCTTTAGGGTATTAGGCATTCAAACACCCCTACGGACTTATAAGCTCAAATCAACTAGGCTAAAAATTAAGACAACAACCATCTAATCATTTCCCACTTCTCACCATTTGGGAGAAGTCCTCACTTTTTTTTATTGCTTTTGCAATTTTTTTTTTTTTTTTTTTTTTTTTTTTTTTTTAGAATGATTGTTAACCTATAGTTTAGGCCCTCCACTTTTCAGCGTGAGAAATTTAGTGCTTGATGAGGTTAGAATCCCAGCTACTTAGTGAAAAGGGGTTGTTATCCACCTTTATCAAGAATGAAAGCTTTCAATGCACTACTAGCTCAATTGGGATATAACCAATTCAATAATCAACAAAGCATGTACCCCACAAATGAATGCTAGTGTGCGCCGGTGCTAGTGTAGAATACTAGAGTGAATCTCAAAACAATCACAAAATCAGGATGATGTGGACCACAAGTGTAAGCAAGATATCAATTTTTCAAAAAATTTACTCCTAAATGGCATCCATAAGGCATACAAGGAGTATTGGACTCTCAAGTCAAGCAATTTTTAAATTTTAAGCAATATAGTCCTCAAAATATCAAAATAATAGCTAGATATGGACCAATCATAGAAATATCCCTCAAATACACAAGTCATGCTCAAAATCTTGAAATTTAAAGCCAACACTGCAAAACACCATTCCCCCCAAACTTAAATGGCACAATGTCCTCAATGTGCAAAGAGAATAAAGGAAAGAGTATACCAATGCAACTAAGCAAGAATGATCAAGACTGAAGTATCCAAAGTGGGTGGCATAGCCCCCCCAAACTTGGGATGAACTGTGGTCCTGAAAATTGGCACTTGGATAAACTCATCAGATAACAAATTGGGATAATTAGTGCACAGTGGACATACAAGTGTAAATGGGATAATGAAATAAAATAGGGAGAGAGATATAAGGGTGGTCCTGAAAATCGGGAAGTACACTCTCACTGAAGTCACTGTGATGCACCTGATGGAGTCAAACATACAGATATAAGAATATAATATATGACATCCATAGTAAAAACAGATATATATAAAACAGATAAAGTGCAGGTACAACAGAAATATCAAAGCCGACAGACCGGCTGTAAAAATAATAGTACTGTACAGTGACAAAAATAAAGTATCAATAGTAGAGAGGGATCATGAGATAGAAGGAACTGGGAACTCAGGAGGATGAGGTAGGACGGGTAGGTCGGG